TCCGCACTATAAGGTGCTTGGGAGTATAAGGCGCACCTTCAATGAATGGTCCATTTTAAAGCTGTTTTCATATATAAGGTGCACCACATTATTAGGCACATAGAATAGAAGCTACAATAGTGGCTGTGGTTGCATTATGCAGCCACTAGATGGAGCTCTGGTAAAGAGAATACAATACATACAGCTTTATTTATACTGTATAGCGCTTTCACAACTGATGCAGCTGTCACAAAGCGCTTTAAGGAACATTTAAAATACTACGTCCAAGAAGTCAGAATTTTGATCCATACAGAAAGTGCATCAGATTATTAAGGCGCACTGTCAGGTTTTGTGAAAATGGAATGCTTTTAGGTGCACCTCATAGTGCGGAAAATACGGTACATGGAAAGCCGACATAATTCCACACCGTCCCACATTACTTAGCAAAGAGAAACAATCATTAGGTGACCCTACAATACGCAAACAGCTCACCGTTATGTGCGCAAAGTGAGTGCCGCAGATGACAATGCTAGTGGGCTAATGGCGCTAACTGATCTACGACCATACGGGCTATTATAACTGCAGGATACAAGCACATTTCAGGTTCTTATTTTTGTCGTGAATTCATACTCTCATACACTTTGAACGATCTCCCATACGCTCCATCATAGCTCACATGTCTTGCTTCTAACGGCGAATAATGAATAAACAATCAACGCTCTTGCAGCTCAATTGCTACAAGACACCATTAATTAACTTCTCGATGAGTTGTCCTGCGATCAGCCCACCTGGATCATCCTCTCAAACATGTGTGCCAGAGGCAGGTAGGAAATGGAAACGTCTTCTTGTCGGATGACAAAAGAACCCTGGCAGAGGGAAAATAACCAGAGAAATGTTTCAATCCTCCGGGGAGACATGACGCCTCGGAGGCAATCAAACACGTTGCGTGCTTTTCCCCCCCTCCGGCATTTAGAAAGCAGTCTGTCTTTAAAGAGGCAATTAGTTTAAGCAGCTCGCAGCCACAGGGCCAATCAAACACTCAGTTAATCATACCATTACACACAGCGGGGAGGAAATAGAGGGGGGGACAGACACAAAGTAGAGGTGAAGAGATGCTGTGGGAGGAAGCAGGATGGAAGACGGACCTCCAGGATCTTAATGACAGAGGAAGTGTTCGAGGCGATGTTGCCGTGGGTGATCATGGCTCCCTTGGGCTTGCCTGCACATAAACAAACGAAGACATTAGTGGCGCGTCCCGAGCGCTTTGCGAGCTGTACAGCGTGGGTCGTAAAAGACGCCGCCTGTGGGCAACGCTGCCGTGATGTGAGCAGGGGATGATTAGGAGGTACCTGTGGTTCCACTGGTGAAGCAAACCACGGCCAGATCCTGAGGCTGGGGGGGCTGAAGCGTAAGCGAGGAAAAAAATATATATGAATACCGAACACCTCCACTAACTCTTGAAGCATTCAGGGGGAATTTGCACGGCTGATCTTAATGCCCAATTCTGATTTATTTTTTTTTTTTGTGTCACCGAAAAAAACAAATCAACCATCAAATCATTTAATGTGTACACATGTATGTATACACTTTTTTCTGCTTTTAGTGGATTGATGAATATCTCAGCATGGGACTAAAACATGGAAGTGTGTCACTCACATTGTGCAAATCCGTTCATAGGCTGAGAGAACCGAAAACTCACCAAAGGCTCTTTGAGGTTCTGCCTTCCGAGATCCTACAATATGCACAAGGAGGATAAGTGTAAATATGATAATGAGTGAAATAAAAAAACCCTTGAGTGTACACTGTCTGCTCACCATGAGCTGTGTCAGTGTGAGAACCTCCACCTGGCAACCACAGGCCCTCTCGGCGAAAGCCTCGCTGAAGTCGTCGAAGAGAACCAGACAGCAGAGTTTGGGAGTGACGCCCTTCTCCTTATTCTCCAACAGGGAAGCGGCCTTCTCTTCACGGTCGCACCCCACCAGGGAGATCTCCGCTAAAGTCCACCGCCACACAAGCACAACTGTGAGTTCTACCGATCGGCAATAAATATTACAAATATAATTATTATTGGTCCAATATGTGCTTCATATCCCCCAAACAGGACGTCTTACCCAAGTGGAGAATATGGACCATGGCCTCCAGCCCCAGTGTGTCATAAAGAGGAACCAAGGCCATGGAGTAAGTGTAGCAGGCCAGCTCTGTAATGACCCACTGCCGCCAACAGAGGGAGACAAAGCAGCACTTTTACACTCGCGTCCCCCAAACACTTCCTTGCTCGGTCAGTCAGATAACAGCTTTCAAAATGAACTAAAATGTCAGCCAAACGGACAAAGACACTCAGGGAAAAAATATAATTATGGTTTTGGAGCTAATCTCGTTGCTTAAATGGAGCAAATAATAGTTTTTGCCCTTTTTAGTCTGTGAAAATGGTCTTGCCTGTCGGGTGTAATAGAAATGATGATTACAGCAGCTGACTTGAATGAGGAATCGCTGTCTGGAGACACACAGTGCCTGCGGCCTCCACATATCGATTTATAAAAGTAAATACACTTTAAGGACACAAAGAAACTGCAAAAAGGAACTTTAGAGCATCATTCTGGGCTTCCCAGACATGTTTTGCGGTGGACTTTGGTAGAAGTACACTATGCCAATGTTATGAGGTCACAACAAAGGTCAAAAGAAAACTTGGCAGTTCATCATTTTAAATTTGGGCCTTAAAGGGCTATTAAGTTTTGAACAGCAAGGTACTGAGGGGTTTTTGAAATATGACAGCGTAATCCAGAATCTGTACATAAACTAGAATGTGTGAGAGATAGATACTCTATCATGAGCACAATTAGTAAATTTCTTACAGAAATATTCCAAAACAGGAATATAAAACATTCAAATTCAGAAAAAAACACGCAACAATCAAAAACAATAAATATGAAGAGCCGACGTTCATCTGGGAATTATTAATACATGCATGCATCGCTTACACTTCCTCTCCTTATGTGCCGCTGTTTTGGTTAGCAACACAGTTCAATTGAACCAAGCAGCTGCTCCCTTGTTCTCTCGTAATCACACTTACATATACCAACAAATTGCTCCGGGTTGGGCTTGCAGCCTCGAGCCAACAGACCAGAACCCATCATCTGCGCTCGTTCGGCCACCTGAAGGGTCCAAAGACAAATGGTTGAAACGTGAGCTTGAGAATACAAACAAAAATGTCATACCTCAGTGTAGGATATCCACTGGTAGGGTTGGCCTGGCTTCCTGAAGCCAAGACATGGTGCGTTACCTAAAAAGTAACACAAACGTTCATCTACTGTTATTGGTTATTTGAGCCAGTGATCAACCACTTTTTTTTTTCCACCCCGAACAGCAGGGGTTTTTTTTTTTGTTTTGTTTTTTTGTGCATTGACTTGCGCAAGCGAAGGGTGGGTCATGTTTTTACATTGTGCGTTATTTTAAGAGGGATGTGCATTATTTTAACAGGTGTGTGTGTTCAATGTCTATATCGGATGCATCGCAACAGTTTCAGTCGAGTAGTTGTTGATTGATGGGAGTGCCACTGCTGAGAAAATACCGATAATACCGTTGAACATTCCTACCCTGTCCCAAATCATCCCATTGGTTCCTGTCTTTTTTTTTTTCTTCTTCAGCAATTAAACTGAAGAGGCTCTGAAGGTACAGATTGATTGTGGAGAGGTGATCTTATCGTCAATACATCATCCCGAATCTATATTTCTGTACCCCCCAATGTCGCAACGTCCTTTCGTCAGTTTACCCTGATGACCTGCGGGGCCCAATCACCAACTGATTTAATGTTGCAAACAACAGCAAATGTGGCTGCTGATGGGGAGCCATCGGTGCAATGATGCTGCAGGCTCAAAGAGAAGACGGGCTGATTGGTTATTGATTCATCATGCCTTGAAGAAATGGAGACAGAATAGGGTGCCCCCGTTGGCCGCAACTTAGGACTGACTGGAGATGATTGACTCTAAACTCGTTTGCAATCTAGAGACATGAGGTACGGGAAGTGGAGCTACGTCCAAAACATTTTCAACTATGTGTCATTTAGATACTTCTGAGAACCGAACAGAGTCAAGAAGGACATTTATTAAAATTCCCATTCCAGTTTCAAACATGATTGTACAATGATGACTTCATTCTAACATTCCGTGTCCCACCTGCAATCCTCAGGCCTCTCTGGAACATGTCATAAGCCGTCCTGGTGTCATCATGGTAGAACTCCAGGAGCGAGTCATCTTGAAGGAGAGCTGATCGCCTGCAGCTGGGATCCCCCTACGGCAAAACACCGCGACAGTAAGTTCCCCAAAACGACACCGAGCGGAGCCGCGGACGACGCGGCCACTAACGCACATTCACAGCGACAGATTGGGCCTGAAGGTCACAGGGAGGGCGCATGGGCCGCGGACGGGTCACCAGCCAGTATGCGGTGAGCGAGGCAAGGGCTCCGATACCCAGCAGGGACAACGAGGACAGAGAGGACAGCGAGAAAGATGAAGGCAGGGACAGCGGACACCAGTCTCCAGCCCGATCTGATTCGGAAACTTGAAGTCCCATGTTGGATCGAAGTAACTGTAACCACTCCTGGAAATTCATGGCTGAACGACAGACAGAAACGTACAGTTAGTTTGCCAACATCATATTTGAAAAAGAGGCTTCAAACTGTTTTTATTGTCCCTCCCGGTTGAAATCTGCTGCCCAACAGAGAATTACACGTTGTGTATCCGAACAACCACGTACTGTAGCTTTGCTTTGCTATCCGCTCGCTGAATGCTAACACATGATAGGAAACGTTCGAGACGGGCTAACAATTAGCATCAGCGTCGCAGAGTTATAACATTTTAAACAACGGTTATTTCAACACAAAGAGCGCTGCATGTGTTGCTGGACGGAAACAAAATAACAATACTCACATGCATATATTCATGATCCTCTTGCAAAGAACGACTAATATTACTGCAGCTTTTTGAAGCGCTAGAGGGCCTGGACCATGTACTGTACAGCCGTATGCCTGAGTTATACTGCCACCAGGTGGCAAAGGTGCGCACACCAGAAGGAGCAGCACAATGTGCTGGTACATTGAAGTGAAGCCAAAAAAATGGGGCAAAAACCGCCTGGCAGAGTAATTCAAAACAATTTAGTGGCAATTATTAAGGCTACAAGATATTGACGATTCACTTTTGCGGAAGTCATTCCTTTTAATTCCCACCTATAAATAAATCAATTAATTCTCACACTTTGAAGAAGTTTCCAATGTTGGAAAATGAGTGACATTTTGTAACCCTAAAGCAAACGTTTTTTTTTCTGAATATTTTCAAGAGAAGGCATGCTTGAATAATGACTAAATTAATTGCAGATTCAAAATGGATCATTTTTTCCATCTTGACTCCTGAAATGATCCCACGGGGCCGAGAGGGGGGGAAATACACGTTCCACAAAAGTGAGCTGCCTCCAAGCCTCTGTGAGAAACTGGGTGAAAAGAACAACTCATGCTGGGACACACACTTGGCGCTGCGCATCGACTAAAAGACAAACTGGAGCAAGACTCGGAAGTGATCATGATACCAATGGCCCCCAAAGCCCCCCACCTCCCTTTAGCCATGCCGTGCCAATTTTCCAACGTGAGGAAAGCGTCACCCTGCCTACGCTGTTTGGTAGCGAAATAGGGGGAGGGGGGAGGACCGTGTGATGACCCCTCCTCCGCGCCCGCCCCCGTTTCGACATGTCACATCATATTGTTCATATTCCGACGGAATAAAAGAGGACGACCCCAAGGGAGGGGAAAAACATTTTAATTGAGACTATTTACTCCAAAATCTGACCCCTCCCCCCCACCTCAAGTATTTTTTCCTAATAAATGAGCACACACACACACACACACACACACACACACACACACACAC